ACAACATGAGTATTAGTGCAAAAGATGACCAAGGCCAAGATGTGACTTCTAATCTTGTTTTACATGCAACCAGTTCTGCTCCTCGTGAAGTTTCTGTTGACACGGACATTAATTACATCTCAAATAATGAAATAATATTATACCAACACAATACCTCGGTGACCAATGCAACCATCACTTTAGGCACCATTGGTGAAGTAGCTCAACAAGTGCAAGTGAAAATCAATGTAGAATTGGTTGAGTGTCCACCTGGTTTGACTCTTGATTCTACAGGAAAATGCTCATGTTCTGGAGATTTTGCTGATCGTGTTGAATGTTCCAATTTAAATTTCAGTAGTTTTATACTTCGTGGTTTCTGGATAGGAGAGTATCAATATAATGGAAATACAGATATAGTTGTCGGGCATTGCAGGAACTGCAAATATACTACCAACAGTGAAGGTGGTCGTTTACCATTGGGAGAGAGTTTCGCAGAGGTTGAGGATTTTCTCTGTGGTCCTTTTCAAACTGGTGTGCTTTGTAGTGGCTGTACTGAAGGCTATGCCCCTGCTTTCAACACTGATGAGTTCCATTGTGTAAAATGTGATGATAAACATATCATTTGGGGAATTGTATTATTTATCTTACTTGACATTATCTTTCCATTTGTTCTATTAGTTGCGATATTTGTATCTGATGTTCCTTTGACTTCAGGACTATTACATGGGCCTATATTGTTTGGTCAAATGATTACGACCGTTATTCCATTAGATGGTGATGGAATTATAACATATCAAAGCATTTTTCATCAAGGAGCTACTGAAATAGCTGAAAAAGTATATTCTATATTTTACGACCTTTTCAATATCGAATTTTTTATGTCACTACAAAACTACTGTGTATCTAAAGATATATCTTATGCTGGCATAATAGCTTTACAGTATCTCTCAGCCTATCTACCGTTTGTTTTTGTTGTGCTTGTGGCTATTGTATTTTATTGTAATGATGCTAACTTCAAATACTGTCGTATCTTTAATTGTCGTAAGCCAAGTTGCTTAGAGAAATTCTCTTGGGCCAAATCTTTTGAACACACTCCAAATGCGTTGGCTACTTTTATTCTGCTCTCTTATACTAAAATTGCTGTTATTACTGGGTATCTACTGACACCTGCTAGCCTGTGGACTGCTAATGGTAGCACTTCATATAATGGTAAACAGGTTATGTATCTCGATGGAACAATAGATTACTCTTGGACTCGTGGAACTTACACTTTATATTTTATTCTTTCTGGGTTTTTAGGTGTACCATTTCTTATTGCTGTGCCTTTGTTTCTGTTCTGCTTCCGTGCTAATGACCCCCAAAATAATGGTGGATTCTTTAACCATTTGTTGAACCAATTTCAAAAGGAGTTCTGTGAAAGTTCGGATGACTTTACTACAACTAATAAAAATGAGGTTGTTCAAATAGATGAAATTGATGCAGACAGACGTAATTACTATAAAAAGGATCAGGAACATATTGGTCGATATTTCCATGTGAGATGTATTATTTCAAACGAAAGTGGTAACTGGCTATGCAGCTATCAACAAATGGCTACAAGGTATTGCAGACTTAGTTTCTACACCAAATGGAGCCGTCACGACTTTCGCTGGCTGGCAGGTGGGTTTTTCATTTTAAGATTATTATTAATCTTGCCATACATGTTAGCATGGAACACCA